TTTTCCAAATACTCCAAAAGATTCAAGAATCTAAAAAAACAAGAATAAAGAAGTCTTCAGTCTTTCCATTATCTCTTTGGCTTCTCACTTCTTTTTTTTCAAACATGATTTCTTTTTTCTAATTTTTCTGGAGAATTTTGTCTACCTCAGTTTGACCTGAATTTTTTGGCCACACCATATTTCCTGAAAGATAATTGGTTAAGGTCACAGATTGATTAATCATGTTAGCCACAGAAAAAGTAAACAAGACAAGTACTTTTCATATGTTTCTAGTTATACAATACCAAACCAATAATGTGATTAGTTCTTGAAAAAGTTGAATGGTTTCAAGTTAAAGTTGTGAAAAGAAAAGGGGTGACTCTTTTTTGTTCCTATCCTTTTATTTTCTTCCCTATTTTTTCTTGAGAATAGAAAGTAGCAACAAGATCTAGGTCCTATTCCAATCTGGTAACAAGTTGAAGTACCAATATCTATTCCGAAAATTGATTGGAAAAAGGAATCTTGAAACTATTCACTGGTTGAGTGAAGCTATAATTCCAGAAGACTTGGCTTGGGAGAGAAATTAACAATAAAAAACCAACATCTTTTCTGATTAGAAGTCTTCAAGTATAAAGTTTCAAGAAAAACTCTTCTGGAAGTGCCCTTAAATATTTTTGGACATTGATTACTCCATTGAAAATTAAACAGTCTAACTGGCTACATGTGATAAGAAGTGGAAAATCATAAGGGACTTGAGTTTTAAGTTCACTGAGATAATCTTTTCAATGATAGTTGGAATAGATAATAGCTTTTTTTCTTTTCTCTTTGTCAAAAAATTTCTTTTTAATTTTTTTTTCCTTTGCATAGTTTCTACAAGAGAAAGGTGACACAATTTGGATTTATGGTTATGACTGTGGAGGTGATCTGCAAGTACTGATCCTATCAGAAGTTCAGGATCTTAATTTTATCTTTTAGGAAAACAATATATCACCTCCATAAATTGCATCTAGAGACTTGGCTAAAGATAAATGAGTTGGGTTAGGGAAATTTGTACTTTGCATGTATTCTCATATGTGTAATGGTTCTCTATAATTTAATAAATAAACAATACCAACTTAATTGCAGAATTAAAAAAAAAAAAAAAAAAAAAGAATAGAAAAATATAAAAAAACATTTAATTGGAGAAACCAATTTGAGTATATTATTAATATATTTGTTTTTAAGATAAAAATAAACAAAACTATATAATTGTTTCTTAAACCTGTAGGTCTATAGTATAGTAGTTAACACTCCACAAGTCAAATCACAAGATACCAGTTCAACATCATATAAGGGCAGTTGAATAGAATTAATATGATATCTGGTGCCATAACCTATTAAAAGTGCTGTTTTTCATGAGAAGTTATTTCACACGTTGATCCAGTATACATTGAGATTGTAATTTCCAGAAAAGGTATCAAGGTGTGACAATCGTCCAGTTGGTGTTATGATAATTGTTGAAAGTTGTAAGGTGTATGAAGTATCTATCTTCAACAAGTAGGTTTGGTAATCGCTTCTCTAATATCTGGCGTCTTTCTGCAGATCCCTGCCCTAGTCTCATTTTAATCCAGTAATAAACTGGTCTAGTGGTGCTTATCCTGAGAAGACATTTGGCAGTAAGGCCTGTTCCATGCAAGAGTACTGTAAGTTACTGTTCAGGCAGTAAGAACCAGTTATAAGTCTACCTTAAACATTCTTAAGTATCATTTAGACAGATAAGAAATTAAATGATTAGTCCAGCTGCAAGTGGTGATAAAGGGATTTATCTCCAATGGAGCAAGCAGAGGTCATATAGCTTTATTCGCCATATAAAAGGATATTATCCCTAGTGTATCCCTTCCTTTTTCCTTAATTTTTTCTCAATAAATAAAGCAGTTAATAAAATTTACCAGTGACTCAGCAAAACAAATAGGGCTTTGGCATGTTTGTATCAATCTCTATCCATTAGGAAAAGTTGATAGCAACAATCGATATGTGGAGAGATCCTCATATAGTTTAACATACGTAAAGATAAATTAATGTTATAGCATAGTTCTATATAGTAATATATATAAATATATGTAGATATTATTAATCTTAATAAAGTTTGCTAAGCAAGGTCTACGCTAGCATTTAATAATAATAATAATTATTATTATTTCTTAAATTTTCATATTAACTTTAATGTTCTTTTTAAATATAAAACCAATATTACTTTAAAAAAAGTAACAAAAAAAACTAATTCACTATTATAATTTTTAAAAAATTATTATTATAAATTTTATCTAATAAATAAATAAAATAATTATATATAAATATATTTAGAATATTAAATAATAAAAAAAATTTTTTTTTTTAATTTTAAGCATATTTTTTATTATAAAAATATTTGAAATTTAAATAGAATTGAAATTTTTGACTAATTTTCTGAACAGTTTTTTATTATAAAACCTATATAAAAAAATTGAGAATTGATTTTTTTTTCAACTTTTATTGTATTTAAAGATAAAATAAAAAAATTTTTATTATTATATTTTATATATGACTTATTACAAACTTATTGATAAGACATTAAAAAATTTATTTATAAAGTTTTATATAATTTGATTAATTAGTTATTGAATTATAAGTAAATATATAATTCTGATTTTTTTTGCATCACATTATATGTAATAAAATTAAATTTAATTGGGAATTGTATTATAATACATATATGGTAAAGATCAACAATACAACTATATGTATAATTAATTAAAGGCATATATAAAAAGAATTTAATTAATTTAATAAAACAAGTAAACAGTATAAAAATTAAAAATATATTAAGGATAATTATAAACTGAATAATAGAAAAATTCCAAAAACTCTGGAATTACTGATGTACAAGATTCCAACAATAGAAAGAGAAGAAGAATATAAGCAGAAGAAAAAAAAAAAAAAACTAACAAGTTAATATTTAATTTAAAAACACAGTACAATATAGATCTTCAATAGAAAAAATAGAAAAAGTAAAAAAATTGTAATGGAAATTTCAAAACAGTATTCAGACTAAAACATATCTTTACTTTTAACAAAATCTATACACTCTCTTTAATACAACTTGACAGATCTTAGTAAGACACTTTTATATCCTCTATTATTTTATTTATTCTTTTAACAAAGTAAAAACAAGAAGGCTTCTTAGTTTTTACTCACCCAAGCTCCGATGGCAAGAAAGAGTTTCCCAGGGAAAAAGACAGTTTATTTGATTTCCCTTCTTCTTTTCATTGCCATGATATCAGTATCTTTATCAGAAAGGATGTCCTGAAAGGTTGTTGGATATCTTGATCTCCAGAAACTTTCACAATATAAATACAGCTATCTTTCTAATATGTTTTCAAAATTCTTTAGTTTTTCTGAAAAATTTTGTTCACCTTAGTTTGACTCTGAATTTTTGGTTATATCAGATCTGCTGGGTTTCTATTGGCTGAAAATCTGGATTGGATAACAATAAACATATAACAGATAAACAAAACAAGATCACATCTCTACTTGTATTACACAATCTTGATGATATCACATAATTGGATAGGAAGAGTAAGGTGATGAGATGTTCATTTTGTTCAGTTGGGTTTGGTGTACATCTCTCTACTTTCTCCTTTTCCTTTTCCCCTTTCCTTTATATAAAAAAGGTAAATAGAATGTTTTTTTCTTTGGGCTTTTTGATTCTAATCCATGGTTTGTGAAGAGCCACAAACTGTAAACTATTTAACAAGACCTTCAACATAACTCTCCTTTCTGCAAAAGTGACAACTCACTAGCAATATCCACCATTCTTACCTGTAGTGAAGGTACTTAGTTGGTAATGATTGCCAGAATAAAAGACTCCCTTTAAACTGAGCCGAACTTTAAAGAAGTTGTGTCTTCTTAAATAAGCAGCCTATGCTTGAAGGCAGGAATTATTTAAAGACTGGATCATAAACCTTGCCATAGGTTTTAAGATATTGAAATACATTCTGACTAACAAGATTTCATCCAGTTTTCAAATTGTAATTCCCTAGGCAGCCACCCAGATGAGGAAATATTCCAAGTTATTGGCAAGAATAACAGTAGTAGGTTTCTATCCAAGTATGATAGGATTGTATTTAGAGTATAATGGAACTCTATTTTCTTGAATGCAAGAAATAAGTGACTAAAATCATATATTTTAACTAATACAATCACATCAAAAAGATAATAACAACTAAACCTAAGGCCTTGGATAACTGAAATAGGATCAATAAAGCTGATCGCTAAAATCATTTCCCTCTTGTTGATGTCATCTTAAAGTCATTGAAGAAGAAGTCTTTCTTTCTCCTCCTTGGAAAGATTGAGACATAGTACTTTGATGGGTAATCTGTTAGGTGTTCAAGAATATTACTGAAAAAGTTTACAAATTTGAGACTAGAAAGTGTAGAAAAGTTTGGTTTGTTAGTCCATTTTTAAATTTTTTGAAATCAGTAATACCTGATAAGATCAATTAAGAAATACTGTTACTATGCTGGTAACAATCCTTACAGTAGAACATAGTTCTTAGTGCTATTCAAACAGTTATATTTTTAAGTTAGTTGAATTTTAGATATATCAAGTATTGACAAGAAGATTAATGTATACAGTATCTACTTTGATTTGAATAAAGATATAAACTATCTGTTAAAATAAAATAAAAAAAAAAAAATGTATCTAAAGTAGTTTATAGATATTAATACTTGTAATTAAAAATACAAATGTAAACTAAATAAAGTATGTTGAGCAAGGCCTTGCTAATTAAAAAAATAAAAAAAAATAATTTTTAATTTAATTATGATTTCTAGTACTTATATTTGTATTTGTATCCATCAAATACGAACACTTGTATATGAGTTTTAAGTTACACACAACTGATCGGAGAATTACCGGATGAGGTTTAGATCGGCGTAGTATCTAATACGCGTCTATTACTCATGCAGAATTGAGGACGAGACGCAACAAACTTCTCATTTCAAATGGGCCGTCTAGACAGACTCGAACTTGAAAACTTTAAATCCTATAAGGGTCGCCAAACTATTGGACCTTTTTATAATTTTACCTCTGTAATTGGACCAAATGGTGCAGGTAAATGTAATAGATAGAGCTTATACTCATCGCTAAATTTTAATGACTCGCACAAGCTTTTTTGACCACGCGATTCTACCTAGTACTTTGTATGAATTCTAAATAGATATCATCATTTCAATTTAATTTACTCAGGAAAATCAAATCTCATGGACGCAATTTCTTTTGTGTTGGGAGTCAAGTCTGCACAACTACGTTCTACACAGTTGAAAGAACTAATTTATCGAGGAAGATCTATGCAAGAAGAAGGTGAAGAGGACATGGATCTTGAAGGGCATCTAGAAAGCCCGAAGCGAGCGTGGGTCATGGCTGTATACAAGGATGATGACGATGACGAAATCCACTTTCAACGAAGGTATTTTACATTAAATTTTGTCTCCGGTTCTTTATATAATCTTATTCTGAACCATTCACTTTGACCGGTTATAGCATTACGAAAACTGGTTCGAGTGAATATAGGATCAATGACGATGTGGTTACCTTTTCAGTATACAATGCTGAACTGGAAAAACGGAATATCCTAGTAAAGGCTAGAAACTTTTTGGTTTTCCAGGTAATTAACAATCAATGAAATATAAAAATATTTTTTAAAAACATCAGTAATATCCAAATTATTTAAAAGGGTGATGTAGAAGCAATCGCATCGCAATCACCAAAAGATCTAACTAGACTCATCGAGCAAATCAGTGGGTAGGTACCATTCGCTTTATATATAGCAAGAACTGTTGTTATTGGTGCTTTTTATTATATGATAATGTGCCGATTTCTTTAAAGCTCTCTAGAATTTAAGGCAGAATATGAAAGGCTAAAGATACAGCAAGAACGAGCGACCGAAAATTCAACATTTAATTATAATAAAAAACGTGGCATCAATTCTGAAATACAGGAATATCAAAAGCAAAAAGCCCAAGCACAACAATTTGAAAAATTACAGGCCGAAAAGGTACCATGATCGGTCTATAATAATAAAATTAATGTTTCTTATTATAAATGTATTGATTATATTGATTGTTAGATGAATTCATATGGTTATCTATATGAATTTTACCTAGGCACAAATCATGGTTGACTACCTCTTATGGAGATTATTTCATATTCAAGAGGATATAAAAGAATATCGAGGACAGATAAACGATCATAATAATATAATTGCAGAGAAACAGAAGATACAGGTAAGTATTGATGTGATTGTTGAACAAAATCACGAAACCAACCGTTTTTGAGATTGTTTCTTTTCATACTTAGAAAGAGTATGATGCTGAGCTGAAAAAGGCCAGAGTCGAACAGGCAAAAGTTCACAGAGAGTATTACCAGGTGGAAAGGGAGATGAAATTGAAAGAGAAAGAATTAGAAGAGAAGGTAAAGTTCACGGTCAATCCGAAAGGTTTACAAATCAATCTCTTTTAACACCTCTTCATCCTATAGCGCCCAGCTTTGCTTACAGTGGACGAAAAAATCGCACATTCTAAAAGAAAATTAAATCAATTTGAACAAAACGCTGAAAGAGTACGAAAAGATTTTGAGCGACAGGTACTCATAAATCAATAATTCATTCAAATTTATTTTCCACATTGTGCGCTTATGTGCAAATATTCATCGATATAGTCGAAACGCGTCGAATCACTGCAGCTAGAATTAGATAAAGTTACTAGGGATGCCGAACAATACGAGGGTATAATTTTTTGCGTGAAACATATGTTTTCGTGGCCATCAATAATTAATCTAGATTCTTTATTATTTCAGCTTCACTAAATGCCGAAAGTAGTAGCAGCAAGAAAAGCGCAAACTTAAACGCCGATGAAATCGCAGAATATAACAGAAAGTAATAACTTATTTATGGCATTTAATTTAAATGCAGGATATGATAATACCCATTAAGCTTATTTCATAGGAGGGAAGAAGCAAACAAAAAGATCATAACAGAGAAACAACAGTTAGAAAATTTCCGCCGACAAGAAAAGACATGTAGCGAGTCGACGCAGCGATTGAAGGAGAAGATGGAAGATTTGGATAGACGTCGTAAACAACTGGAGGAAGAAAGTTTATCATTATCGGATCACAAAGACAAAGTTAAAACATGTTTAATTAAATAATTTTCATTAATGATGACTTCCAATCAATCAATATTAATTCTAACTTCAAACTAGGGATCTGCGTATGTGGCGCAACTACAACTTGATCTTGAAAAATCAAAAGGAGAACTCCAGTCAATCATTGTTGAAAGAGAATCCATTAAGTATGAATGTAAAATTTCATTTCAAAACTACTTCCTTCTACATCCTAATATGCCAATTTTTCTAACGGTAACTCTGTAGCCGTCAAGAAATTTACTTAAATCGAGAGTTGCAGGAAGTTCTTAACAAAATCACCGTGGCAAATGTAGATCAAAATGAATCGGAAAGGGAACAAAAAATGAAGGAATGTTTAGAAAGTTTGAAAAGAGTTTTTTCAGGTGTACATGGACGTCTTTTGGATCTGTTTACGCCGAGTCAGAGAAAGTACGCAGTTCCAGTCTCGATTATCTTAGGAAGAAATTTGGACGCAATTATTGTTGATCAACAAAAGACCGCTATCGAATGCATCCAGGTAAAGACCATAGTACTTTTAGAATGGTTAACACAAATATTAAATAATTATTTATAACCGTCTTAAAAGTACATGAGGGAGCAACGACTTGGACACGCGACATTTATTCCTCTTGACACAATTGTAGTCAAATCAATAAATGACAAGTATCGAAGTTTTATGAAAGGAGCGAGGTTAGCTATCGATGTTATTACGTACAATGATAAATTAGAACGCGCATTTCAATATGCATGCGGTAATACGTTGGTATGCGATACTCTCGAAATCGCAAAGCACATATGTTACGAAAAGGATCAACACATCAAAGGTACGTTTAAATCGTGTATAAAAATAAGATACATATTGACACTGAAATATTAACATTAAGACGGTTTCCCGTATTAGCTGTTACCCTTGACGGTACCATAATTCATAAAAGCGGATTGATTACAGGGGGTCATAGCGATGACATTCTTTCAGGTGCAAAAAGAGTAACAGAAAAGAAACGTGGGGATACATTGGAAGGTGAGCTGACCTCTGCTACGGAACGGTTTATTCAATTTGCATGTCACTGAGATTTGGTGGTCAATAATAGGATTGAAACGACAGAGAGATGAAATTTTTTCCAAGTTAAGCAATCTCAATAAATCAAAGCGTAGGGGAAATCTTGAGGAGCAAAAGAAAAGTGAAATATCTGGTTTGGAATCTAGATTAGAGCTTTCCCAACAAGACCTGGTATATCGTATTTAAATATTTATTGAGTATTTTGGGTTGTTCTCTATGCATCATTTAATTTAAATCGTTTATTTGATAGTTTGAGGTTACGAGAAAGCTAAAGGCAGTTAACGATGAGTTATCTGTTATCGCTGAAGAAGTTTTAAAACTTCAGCCAACCTTAGATCAGGTAATCTATATTTGCTCTTATATGCACGATGTTTACTATAAATAACAAGCCATGACCGTTCCTAGGCACAAGCGGAACTTATGCGTATTAATGAGCAAATTGTTCAGCTGGAGAATAAAATAAATTTAATCGAGGATGATGTTTTCCGGGATTTTTGTCGAAAAATCCAAGTCTCCAATATCCGTGATTATGAGCAAAGACAATTAAAGATGGCTCAAGAAATTGCTGAAAATAGGCTTAGGTTTACAACGCAAAAGTCACGCCTTCAAAATCAGTGAGGAGATTTTACATAATCATAATTTGGTTTTCTTTTTAATTATTGATAATTATATGTATTTATTATTGTTCAGATTGACATTTGAATCTGAACAACTAAATGAAACTCAAGATCGATTAAACAGACTAGAAACAGCTATTCGGGATGATGAACATAGGCTGTCAGAGCTCGAAGAGGAAAAAAGTCAATTGCTAAGGGATAAAAGTCGTATCTCCGATGAAATTACTGAAAAGCAAGAAACCCTTAATGAAATTAAAAAAGAATTTGACGTAAGGACAGATGCTGTTAATTCAGCAAAGAGACAATTATCACAATTGAATAAAGAGATTGATAAGATGATGAAGGAAGTTGTTAACAAGGTAAATAAGTTATATTCGACATTTTGTTCATTTATCATTGACTTGATTTAATTCAAAAACAGGAATCGGACATAGAGAAGCTGGAGGCCGATAGGTTTTCCATATTTCGTAAGTGCAAGCTGGAAGAAATAGAACTCCCTGTCTTGAGAGGCTCTCTCGATGAGGTTTTAATTGGAGACTCGGTGAGTATGGAAAATGTTGAAATTTGCAGACCAGTGAGGTCGGTCACAACATTCATGATACTTATTTCATGCAGTACCAAGAGGAAGATGCTATGGATACTGACGATGATGATATCATTGCGTCAAGTAGTAGATCAAATTCTAATTTAAATATTCAAGTTGATTTTGAGTCCTTGACAGAAAATCATATGGAGGTTTGTTGGCCATTTATAGTATATCAAGTTATCTAATTTGGCGTTCATGAAGTAAATAAGATTTATTATCTCGCAGAATAATGGAAACGAGATTGCTAAAGATTTCGAAAAAAAGATTGACGAAATAACAGCAAAGATGGAAGAAATTGCGCCCAGCTTAAAGGCTATAGAGAGGTTCGTATCTCGATTATCAAGAAATTACTTATGCTGCCTCCACTAATCAATGCATTACTAGACTTGAAGGCATAGAACAACGTTTACAGGATACAGAAAAAGAATTTGACAATGCGAGGCGGGAAGCTAAATTGACCAAAGAAGCATTCAACGCCGTTAAACAAGACCGGTTAGCTTTGTATTTTGTATTTTGCTACTGTGTAAAGACTTGCAGACATCATTTTTGTGTTCGCATCATCATCCAGGTATAAACATTTCCATGAAGCATATGATCATATTTCCGAAAACATTGATAAGATTTATAAAGACTTGACAAAAAGTCGTAGCTTCCCCTTGGGAGGGACTGCGTATCTTAGTTTGGAGGACACAGAGGTATGCTTTTAATAACAAACTCGATGTTCTTTTGAGAAAACAGCTATAATAATCTATCTATTTTTAGGAACCTTATTTAGACGGAGTGAAATACCACGCCATGCCTCCAATGAAACGTTTTCGAGATATGGAGCAATTGTCCGGCGGTGAAAAAACGATGGCGGCGCTAGCATTGCTATTTGCTATTCACAGGTAGTTTTATTACATTGCCAATTTCATGAACGTCTATACTCTTATTAATTTGCCTTTTTAGCTATCGACCATCGCCCTTCTTTGTGCTCGATGAAGTTGATGCTGCCTTGGATAACACGAATGTTGGAAAGATTGCAAATTATATTCGGGAACATGCTTCAGATAAATTTCAATTCATAGTTATTTCACTTAAGAGTACATTATATGAAAAAGCTCAGGCACTTGTTGGAATATACCGGGATCAAGAGGTGAACAGTAGCAAGACATTAACTTTACAGGTAATTATTTCTGTTCTTACCACTTTTTAAACGACATGTTATTAATCACTTGTTTCTTTCATGCAATATAGCTGGACAAATATCTGGAATAAAAGATTGTTTGAATGAAAATTTTTTTCCCAGTTTGACAGACTTAGCCGATTAACCATTATTGTTTTGCTCTTGAATTTATTATTCATAATATTATGAGAGTTGCATTTCATACAGGAACCTTAAATTTAACATATGCGATTAATTAATGTTTAATAATTAATAATAACACTTGTAGAAATTATTTTTGTTGGAGAATTCAATATTCAATATTATTGTCTTATAAATACAATTTTCAGGGTGAGATACAAACAAACATCGGCTTAAGAAAGAATAAATTTGAACAATACTTATTTTTAATTATATATTATTTAATAAATAATTTAAAAAATCTTTTTATTTTAATATTCAATTATAAAAATATCTATACAGTATTACCAAATTTTATTAATTTATTAATCAATATAATTTGTTTAATATTTTTATTAATTAGTTTTTTGTCAATTTAAAAAAACAAATATTTTTTAAAAGATAATTAGTTAAACTATAAATATATTAATTAAATCAAATTTAAAAAAAGTAACAAGATATATACAGTATATATATTGCAAATAAGCATAAAATATAAGGCTTTATTGATTTTATTTTATTTTATTTTGATTTTAATTATACATGTTTTCTTATTATCATAAAAGGAAATTTGATTGACAATATGATTCTGAATTAAATACAATTTTCAATTATTTACTAATTGATACCTAGTAATACAAACATAATATAGTTTTTAAAAAATGTCTAAATTAAATATAAATACATGTATAATTTTAACCATTAGTATTAATCTTGCTTAACAAACTTTATTAATGTCAATATATATATATATATATATATATATATACAGAGAACCCTCCCTAAATGCACCCCCTTGGGACCCAAGAGCAAGTGTGCATTTAGAGAAGGTGTGCATTTA